TCTTGTATAGTACTGTCAATTTAAGAAATTATAATTGTTGTATGTGTTTTAAAAAATGTATTGTAATTCATGACAAAATGTATTCTTTTTATATTAATATTAATTTTATTAATTTTTTTACTGATTATTTTATTTAAATAAAATGCTAGGATTAGAATTAACTACAATAAAGAATAAAATATTAGTTTATATATTTGAAATATATTTTTTTATTGCAATTATGAATAAAATGATAAATAAAATGATTTTATAATTGGCAACAATAAAATTGTTGTGAAAAGTATAAAGAAATTTTATAAAACATTTTTTGCAACGTATTAATAAAATTGGTTGCAACAAGAAAAATTAATGTTAAAATTAAAAAAATATATATTACGAAAATAATTTTACCAATGGTAAGAGTAGATATGTAAAATATTTTTCAATGATTACAGTCTTTAAAATTATTTATTGTAATAACATAAGTCATTATGCTAAAGGTAATTTGCAATTAAATAAGCATATGTGGCAAAATATTATAAGGCAACCAAAATAATATTGTTATGAAAAAGGTTTTGTAACCAAAATATATGATTGCTTAACTAAAGTTAAAACGGCATTTAATCGTTCCAAAATATGATCTGTAATCAAATAAAGAATTGTTGCAAAATATTATTAAGCAACCACAATATTGTTGTTACATTAAAAAAATTTAACCAAAATAATATTGTTATACAAAAATTTTTGCAATCAAAATAATATTATTACATAAAAACTTTTGTAATCAAAATTTATTGTTGCTAAAATAAAATTTACCTAATGACATTTATAGTTGCTAAAACAAACATGATTTATATAGCAACTACAAATTGTTGTAATATGTTTTTTTTTTTCAACGGCAATAGAATTTGTTGCATAAACTCTTTACCAACGAAGATGATCGCAACAATCTCGCTACAAAAAGTCATTTTAAAAAAAACTTTAGCAACACTAAATTGATATTTCGCAACGACTTAGACCGTTGCTAAATATTTATTTTCTTGTAGTGAAGGTGTAGGGGGTCCTGGTGACTGGTGGGTAAACAGGAATTGGACTATAGGAAGGGGAAGTGGGTACTGGTGGGGGAAAGTCCGGTGCTAGTCCAGAACGGTTTGGGGATATTGCTGGAGAAAATGGTTCAAAATTTTTTACGAATGTGCAGATCATGACAAGAAACAAAAAAGTTAATAGACTTCAGGCTAGCCACGATTCAAGATTTGAGCTAGGATTTGACCTTCAATGCACGATTTTAAGGGGTGCATGAACTATGGAAATATCGACATTCTAAGTTGCGTTGCTGTTGGGTTTGGAGGGCTCTGTTTATAATGTCTTGAAGTGGTTAAACAAAATTAATTGAAGTGATGAAGCAGAAAGTTACGCTTGAAGACATATGGAAAGGCAAGATAGTTTTTAAGCTTTGACTCAATCACACGCATAAAATATAAAGCCATAACCTATATGTATTGTTAGTATGTCCATACTTTTCAATGGAAGTGTCTTCTTGAAAAGACAAGAACCTAACAAGTTGACTGTTTGCTTCCTATGTTATGTATTTGTACTCTTTTGCCTTCAACTTCAATTGCACAGCATTGCTTTCATCGAATGGCCACCTTGGTGAACTCAAGTCCTGGCCACTAATTCTGACCATTTAGCATTCAATATTCTTTGCTAAAAAGTTTAAAATTTCTCTCTCAAATTAGAGAAGCCTTGTGTGGAAGTGCTCTGCAATAGCAAAAATGAAAAGTGAGCCACTCAATGAATAGTTTAGTGTCTATAACACTTTCAATTATTTTGTTGTTTTTTATGAAGTTTTCGTTTAGTGACAAGAGAATAAATTTAATGTAGTCTACTCTACTCTTATCACAATGTAAAGTGTCACACTAGAGCAATATAATTATGTAGTTGCAATGAAGAAATAATCACATTTCGTTTTTTAAAGAGGAAGAAGGCTCTTTAAAGAATTTTTTTGATGAAATCCAATATTAATAAAATTCCTAGCATTTAAGAATTTCAAAGCTAGAAATTAAGGATATCTTCCTCTGGACAAAATTGACATAAAATTTTTTAAGTAAACTCTATGAAATTTTAAAAAGAAATTATTTAATAAAAATTTTAAATTGATAAATTAATAGAATTTAATGTAAAAAACAATAATATGTAAAAAAATATTAAAAAATTATTTATAATTTAAATTTGATTGATATTTATTTATCAATAAAAATTTTGTCAATATTTTTATTAAAATACCTAGTTAAAAATATATATCAAAATTTTTAAAAATTTTTAAATTTTACATAATTGATCTATATAACGAAATCTTTTAATTTATCGATTTTAATTTTTAATTTTAATTTTATTTAATTATTTTTAATAAAAATTTCACAAATTTTATCTAAAACATTCAAATAAGTATTTCCTATCTTCCTCTTCCCTTTCATGATTTTCCTAAATCTGATTGTCATGGTCCTTTGTCGAACCATCAGGTTACATGAAATAATTGACAAATAAAAAAGGTCGATTTGCTTTGATGGTTGCATTAGGGATGGACTTTCTTAGTAAAGAACGCTTGGACACATCTCCTGAGCATCTGAGTTGACGCAAATAGTAGTTAGATACTAGATAGATGTGAAAGTGGAACCTACTTCCAAACTATTGGGCCGAGTCCACATTGACTTATTTATTTATTTATTCTCAATTTCAATTTATGATCCCTCTCAAAAGGATGCCCAATGGGCAATAATTCAGCTTTACTGTTCTGTTATAGCTAAATGCTTTTTTGCACATAATATGTTTTCAACTTTAACCGTACGTGGCGAAAACAGTACAAAAATCTTGCGCCAACAAGATAATGTAAGGTCAATTACCAATGAAATTCTCTTTCAAAAGTCCTGTTTTCCACTAAAAAACAGCCAGTTATGTGTACATTCTCTTGTCCTAAAGTGATTTGGCTTCTTGATTTCAAACACACACTTTCTTGACCATAACAGGAAATGAAATATGAATAAAATATAGCTTCATTATTGATGAAGATATTTTCTGATAATGGATTGGAAACATTATTTTGAATTCCTAATTTTCTGTATACCCTAATAAAATGATGAAATATTAAAGAAGATTATTAATAAGCAACTTGGCTGTGTTATGCATTTCTGACATGTCATAACAGGGAGAGGGGAGAAAAAGAAAATGAGTAAAATCAAAGTATATCATGGAATTGAGAGAGCCCAAGAAGAAAGGATTATGTTGTCCACTTCAAAAGTATTTGATGATCTCTTTAGATAATTGATGTGGAAGTGATGTTCTTTTAGGTTCTCAAAAATGTAGACTTGGAAAAGCTAGACAGAGAGATCTTAGAAAGAGATCCGGTTGAATTTGATTAGACAAGTAATTGCCTATAATAAAATCATGTGGGTTGTTTGCATTTGCATAAGCCAACGAAAGTGAAATGTTCAAATCCACTCATGCCCCCATTTTCTTTTCTGTCAAAACCGATCGATGTCCCTTGTGGGGTTAGGATTGGATGACATTTAGTTGGCGAAAATGACGTTTGCTTTGTCATAATAATTTGTATAAGTAAAAGCTAAGATTATGCTTATCTCAAGGGTTAATCCTTTGAGATTTGTTCATCTTAAACTAATAATTATACTGCATAGGATGGCACTATCATAGCATGAGGGCTCCACATCAGCTTCACCATTTCTTTGTCGGCCATTTGTCACTGACCCCACCACTTAATTTCCTCCATATACGACAAATTGAGTTAGATTTTGACATGCAGGATGACCATCTGAATGAGGAAATTCTTTCCGGTTTACATGTCACCCCTAAGTGGCCTTTGACATCTTATGCCTCTAAAAAAGATGTTTCTTCTACTTGTATCATGTGCAGCATAAAAAATAATTGTGGTGGAAATATTTTACACATGCAAAATGCTAATGAATTCAAAATTCCTCAAATTGCTACTAAATTATTTGAAGGGGAAGCTAACATATATGCACATGCCATCTCGATCCAATGAATTTTAACTATTGTACTTTTCAGGAGTTGATTATGAGATCGTTTTCCTGTTTTCACCTCCTGTTGATAGTAAACTTAGTTTGAAAACCCTTTTTTTTTTCAAGACAAGTACTTGAACCCGATTGCTTTCTCTCTGTGAGTCAAGTCCACCGAGATTTTTCATCTCTTTGGCAGTCTGGTACAGTTTCTAGCTTCTAAATTTTTATCGGATAAGAAATATTTTTCATGTAAATATTTAAGCATTTACTGTACAATTATGATATTTTGATTCTATATATATATATATATATATATTTACGCAATTCGGATCTACTTGCTAGCTTCAGCTGATAGACACATGTATTAACATTATTTCAATTTAGTGGCGACTACGACCAATCACACGTTAAACAACAACCATTGAACTTAGATTTTCGAATAAATGTATTGAAAACAGACAGTTTCTTGGATTAATAAAATATATATTACGATATATTTTATTTTAATTTAAAAGATTAAATAATTTATTTATTTTTAAAATTTTTTAAAAAAATTAATAAAAATAAAATACCATATTATTTTATATCCACTCAAATAATCAAGTCATGTCCTTAAACTAAACCCATAATCATGATTCGGGACACCCACCGATGCGCCAATTAGCGTTCCATCAAATCACCGCAACATTTTCCCTATGTAGGCACTCGTGTTTGTGCGTTTGTTCCATTAATTATTGAATAGAGTATGGAAAGAGTTGGGCAAAAAATCCAAGAAATTAGAAAAGTAAAGCCCCACAAAAGGTGTAGAGGTGCACGCTCAAAGTAACAGGCTGGGGACATGGTGCCCCTGCTTGACGGAGTTGAAGCACATAGGAGAACTGTGTCGTCTACAATACAAAGAGGTCAGATTGTCTCCCCATGATTTGGCACTTTTGACACTCAAAGCATAATATTAAAAAAAAAAAAAACTCTAGCATGTACCTGATAGTTTTGCAGGACTTTTGGTACCTGAAAAATGTGTATCCCTTGGACAGGTATAGCTTGTACTAATCAAACAAGGACTAGTATAGTGATCAAATATAGGAAGAAACTAGATATCTGTTGGAATGGATAGAAACAAGTACATGCCATGGTGGAGTTCCAATTAAAGCAAGCTTTCGAGTGAGTGATAAAGAAACATACCAATGTCTTTTTATAAAGGAAAAATATACTGTAAGGCATATAGTGCATCAGGCCTTATTCAATATTCCATATATAGGCATAATATTAGCACACAAAAGCATTTGGTTCCCTTCAACAAAAAAAGATTTTATTCTTTTATGCTGTCAACAAAACATTTCATCGTTTACCAACAAAGGTGAGTGTGAGACTCAAAAAAACTTCCTCTTTCCTATGGAATCTCTGAGGAAAGAACCTAGTCCCTCTGAGAGCACCTCGTGCATCGTTTCAACACCAGAGGCCCCTCCAGGTCCAGATGAAGTACTCACAGATCGTGAACGAGAGGCAAAGCCCTGTCTCCAACTAGATCTAAACCTAACTACAAGTGATTGTGATCGTGGGTTCAATCTAGAACTCAATCTTATTGATTCCTTGAACACAGGTTCATTTGACAGTACCGCACCAGAAACTCCCCGACCTACAGATGGTGAGCAACGAGTTTTCTCATGCAACTATTGCCAAAGAAAATTCTACAGTTCACAAGCTCTTGGAGGACACCAAAATGCCCACAAGAGAGAGAGGACTCTAGCAAAAAGAGGACAAAGGATGGGAGCTCATATAGCCGCTGCCTCAGCTACAGCTTTTGGGCACCCCTATTTTCATCACAACCACTATTCTAGCTTGGCTTCTCTTCCACTACACGGTGCATATAATAGATCTCTGGGAATTCAGGTGCATTCAATGATCCATAAACCTTCTCATATTTCTTCGTCAACTGGCTTTGGAAATGTGTATGGACACCATAGTTGGTCAAGGCCTCCTATAGACCAACAGCCGGCAATAGGAAAGTTGTCGATGGAGAATTCCCATGCAATTGCAACAGGAGCAACCTCTCGAGCAAGTGTCGGTAGGTTCAACATAATGCGGAAGATGATGGGTTCTCCAGCTGATGAGATGATTAGCAATTGTTGGTGGTCAGGTGGTGCTAGTATGAAGACTAGGCAGGAGGAGATACAGAAGGTTGACCTATCTCTCAAGCTCTAATTGGGTATTACTTTTAAGAACATATATATATATTTTTCTCATTAAGATATTGTTTACTCTTATTTTCTTTGGAAGTAATTGTTATGTATAAATCATAGAGAAGTTTTGGAAGATTTTTGTTTTTTTTAACTTGGAAGTACCGTTAATCCGTTTCTCCGATATTCTTTCTCAAATACTTTGAACTAGGAAGTTTGTGTTGGTTCAGAGGGAATTTTTCCAATTTAAGGTGTCCAGGATTTTACACTCAATGCACAAAAACTTTGGCCTTTTAATCCCAGGCCGGTCTTCAAATTGACAGGTAAATAATTACCAGAATTTACTCATGAAGTCTTGGTCTATTCCTATAAGCCAATCGATATTCACTTTATAATAAATAAATACTAAACAAGAAATCTTGCAATAATTACATTGAATCTTGCAAGAAATCTTGCATAAATAGTACTAAAACTTTTTTTTTTTTGTCAAAGAAGTTTCAAAGATTAGTTGATTTTATAGGATTCAAATACTGTAAAATTTAGATTTAGATGGGAATCCCATCATCAACAATTTTTTTGATGAATTATTTATAAATTCAGTGAAGTTATCTCCGAAACTTACCATCTTCTCTAATCTTGGAATGAAAAAATTTACTCTGACCTTAATCCTTTATGCATAAAGAAATAAAACAAAACCCAAATTTTTTATTCTCCACACCCAAAACAAAGAGAAAGGGGGGATAATTTCTTAGGGCTTTTAATTTAATTTTGTTGAGAGCATATATATATATATATATATATTTTCCCTTTTGAGGTATCTATGGATATAATCAAGTTATCCTGAATCAATACAGTAAAAATTTTGAGCTTCATTTAAAATTCGAGACTCTTGATCAAAATTTTTTAACTTAAATTTAACTTAAAATAAAATTTTAATTACTCAAATTTATTCGATGAAATTTATTTATTAAATTTAAATAAAATTAATTTTTTTTATTGATTTAAAGCTTGAACTCAAATTGAAATTTTTGACAAATATCTTATATAAATTAAATCACATAAAAAAATTATATTTTTACAAATCCTAAGCATAAATCTATTGAGTTAAAAAAAAAAGTGCCGATCAATTTAAAAACTAATACAACAACACTATTATCAGCATCAAAATACGACACCAGTATCATAAATCCTATAACTAATATGAAGGAAATGGCTATTATTAATGTTTTCTGCTTTTGTTTCACCTTCCTCTGGATGTGACATGCAGATTTAAAGGAAAATTTTATCATTTAGCAATATATCGAAATTTGCTAACAAAGCAAAAAAAAAAAAAAAAATCCAGGTAGCAAAAACCCCAAATCCACAAGGCCCAGAAACAGAATTGCCACAAAACCCTAACATAATCAACAATTTCGCCATTCATCTGTCATAATAATATCCCAAAATAAAAGAACCTTTTTCCATGAGATTCACATTTTTGTAAAAACTCCATAAGTTGATCATCAAAATGGTGATAACATGGTAGGTGGGTCCAAATTCCAAATCATGTAAGTAAAAATCAGAAAGGAAAAAAGCAATCAAGATAAAGAAAGTAGAAATAATAAGAAAGAGAAATAACAAAGGAAAAAAAGACTGTGTGGATGTGTCTCTAACTCAAAAGACTTCCAAACATATAAGATGACCAAACTCGAACAGGGTTTGGTCTATTTTGGCCTATTTGTGTTATGTTTCTGTTTTTTGAAACGGGGCGTTTCTGGTTTGGGATCGAGGGGATGAGAGAGGGAGACTATGCCTGAAAGGAAGGGTGGCTAGCTGGCTGTTGATTCTAGGGCCTCGAAAGAGAGAAAGGAAGGGGTCACCACTAGCCTAGGATAGAGGGAGTGGGAGAGAGATTAAATCAGAAACGGTGGCTGGCCAGATGTTGTTGCTGGGGAGTTGCTGGTGGAATGAGAGAGAGGAAGGCGACGCCGCTGGGGAGTGAGTTTGAGAAAGAGGCTTGGGATCGTGGGGGGAATGAGAGTCTAGGTAAGAAGCAGAGAGTGTCTAAGAGAGAGGCAGAGAGCAGAAGTGACCTTCAGAAAGCTTGGAGTGTCTAGTCTCTGATGGAGTTCCTTAGAACCCGGTAACTGGAGAAAGGGCTAAATTCATCATTCATCACTCTTATCCCGAACGTTGAAAGCAATGTTAGTCTGAGCGACTATAGACCTATTAATCTTATCAACTCCTTTCAGAAAATTCTTGCCAAAATTTTGATAAACAGGATGAAAATTGTCATTGGCAAGCTGGTGAATTATAGAATATCAAATTTAATTATATTGTATATTTATTTGGACACACATAACTGATAAGCAAAAGCAACTATAATTTTATGAAATAATTAGATTTTTCTATTTGCCCTTCTTTTACGGGTGGTTTTTAATGATAAATATTATTAATTAGAAATAAAAAGAGATCTTAGTCAATTTTTATTAAAATTTTAAAAACATCTCCATCAAAAGTTTAACAAGTCAAAAATTTACATAATTATTAAATTACATTAACTTAATAAGATGTGTAAAATACATACATAAATTATTACAATTAATTATTTTGATTTTTATACTTGTTTCATATTATGACTAAATTTATTAATTTATTTTATTAAATTATAAAATCACTAATTAATAGTAGTCCATTTCTTGAAAAATTCTAATATTCTCCCACTTGAGCAATATTAATTAAGTTGTTTGATTTTACGAAAATAATACTTCGAGCTGGTTAATTTTACTTTGATATAGACACAGTTTTAAAATACAATTTAACCTTTGAGATAACATCTTAGATGATCTTATCCAATAAAATCATCTAATTCCAAATCATGGTAACCATTTTACCCCTTATTGACATAAAACCAATCTATGGTTACAAGTACGATGACTTTATCGACAATAGATTTTCAGTATGATTGTGTAGTAAGAAAATACCTAAATGTGATCTCAATATTTTTTTTCATTATCAGTCCTTTTGCCGATATCTTTAAACTTGTAAAGAAATCTCAATGGCATTCAGATGTATTTGTATATCTCTTTTTTATCCTCGATGTTACTTTTTGGTATTATTTATACGACTTACCCAAATCATATTAAAGTCTTGCTCAAGATAGATACCAAGTTTTAAGATTTTATAACATGACATGTCAATATGAGATATGTGCATGCAATAATAATCATACATATAAATAACAACTATGATGTCTATTTAAAACAATTGTGTCCACTATACTTGATGATATTTCATGGACTTATTTATGTCAAACTATATCTTATAAGTAATTAGCAATCACATACAATACATTGAACAAAGTAAAGAAACCCAAAACAATAATGATTTCAAAAACAAAATTTACAATGCATCATTACCATAATCAACCCAATAGCTTAACATGTTTTGTTTTTCATACTTATAAATATCCATATTATGAGCTCGGTAATACCATAATCCTTACATAAAGAAATATGTTATCATTTTATCAAATCACAATGACTCCCTTTGATCTAGTGAATCACAAAATGCTCAAATCAAATTTCAAATAATAAATAAAAAGCACTTTAATAAATGGAGCCATAGAAATATTATGTATTGTAGGCACCAATTTTGTCTTATTTTAACATAAATATAATTTTGTTTATTATTATTATTATTATTATTATTATTATTGATTAATTAATTAATTAATGAAAAAAGAAGAAGAAAAAGTCAAAAAAAAAATTTTGGTTTCAACTCTAGCAACTGAAATCAAGCTGCCAAAGTGGTTCATTTTTCTCCCTGACATTGCCTAACTTGGCAGATTGAAATCCGGTGACCAAAGTCATCGAATAGGCCTTCAAATTTTTCATAAAAGATCTCAAAAGATTTGGGACTTGAATCCTGAAGCTTTATAAAAATAGCTGATTTTTGTAAAAAGGCAAATGAGAGAAAAAAAAAAAAAGAAGTCTAGGGGTTCTGCGAAAATAAAAACAAAAACAATCATAGTCCTCTTAATGAGGAACCAATAGCAAATACAAAAAGCAAAAATTTAGAAACAAAAAAAAAAGAGACCCCTTGAGAATGAAATTCTCAATCTATGAGGTTTGAAATTTTTTTTGAAAAATTTAAGTTTCAAAGAGTGTTAAGAAAACAAAAAAGATCAATTTGGGATTTTTTTGGAAATTTTTGGTCGTTGGATTCTGAAAAATTTTGAATTTTCCAACGATCGAAATCTGGATTCATCGTCGAAATCTGGGAAAATTTGAACTTTCTAGCACTAGTTGAAGATTTCGGCCATTAGTGCACGACGACGACTGACTGGAATCTGGGTTACCATGGCAGCCAGCGAGAAAGACTAGGTTTTTAGAGAGAAAGGCTTTTTGGTAGATAGAAAGAGAGATGGGAAAGAAACAATTAAAGAAAAAAATAAAAACAGGCCTTTTATAGGCGTTTCAAAACAATTTCATTTTAGGTGTTTGACTCACGCCTGACCCTCTTAGGATTTGCGCATCAACTTGCACGCCGACCCGACCCGTTTGGCAAGTTTTTCCTTTTTTTTTTCTTTTCATTTTCTATTTTTATTTTATTTTTAAGTTATTTTAAGTTATTTGTTTATTTATTTTTTCTATTGTCTATTTATTTATTTTGTTGATATTATTATTATTATTATTATTATTGTTATTTTAAAATAAATAAATAAAATGAAAAATAGAACTAAAATAAAAATATGGACTTAAGAAATATAATATACAAAAAAATTAATAATAATAATAATAATAATAACTATTTAAGGAAAATAAAATTTACTGCAAGTACAAAGATTATTTAAATTTCATCAAAGTGTTGGGATAATTTAAAATATAATTTTGGCTAAATAATAATAATAATAATAAAATTATAAAAAAAATAAAAAAAATAAGAAAATAATAAGTTGTTTAAGTGAATCTTTTAAATGTAATTTTTAGAGAAAGCTAAAAGAGTTTTATTTTCTTTAATTATTGTAAGTAAAAATAATTTTTTCGAATTTCACCATAGAGTTGAAATTTACCATAAAGTTGGAATAATCTAAAATTATTTTTACTAGAACAAAGGTTTATTTAAACAATGTAAAATAATAACAAAAAATAAAAATGAAATAATAATAATAATTGATATTTTGAATAAATATTTTTAAAAGATGTAGAAAATTGAAAAAGTTCAATTTTCTTTGATACAAGTAAAAAATCAATATTTTTTAGATTTTGCTAGTGAGTCGGGATAATATAAAATTTTTTAAATAATATAATAAAAAAGATAAAAATAATAAACAA